TCCCTCCCTGCCTGGCCTTGTTCCGGTTTGTGCACAGTTTGGCTGTCTGGGAGCCATCCTTGCGGGGGGGGTCTGTCATGATCCTGCCCCGCTGGCTTCCGATGCTCCCTGCTTTTACTCTGGAAGCGCTTCCTGTCACCAGCTCATCCACAACCCCGGTAACTTCAGCTCATTATGCACATTGGTTTCACCTGCCACTAATCACCCACACTGGTTCACCACAGCATATAGCAGCTCCTCACACTGTGCCAGATTGTTCAATGCCCTGTCTAGACTCTCCAGCGTTTTTCCCCTGACTGCCTTCCTGGTACCGGACCCCTGCCTGCTCTATACCGACCTGTGATCCAGCCTGCCCCCTCCTGTCTGACTGCCAACCTGAGATCGACACCCTGCCTGTGGAACCAACCTGTGCTTCTGCCTTGCCTTCCCTGCTGCCCTGCCGGAGACTTCGATCTTGGACTGTATTACGTACCACTCTTCTGCCTGATCCCCCTAGACTGTGTGTTTCTCTGCTAGAATCACAAAAGGATATTAAAGTCTGTACTACTGCCTCAGCCGACTGGCTTTTTAATTGGGTTCACTCTATCTTCACAGGAGCGTCACTCACCTCCCTGACAGAAACCAGAAAATAACTGACAACCATGACATTTTTTTCTCTCTAGCATTTGTTCCATCACCTTAAATGCCCAAAGCAGCGAGTTTCTTTTTAAGTTATTCGGTTTGAAATTGAAATGGAAACTGCAAATTACTAAGCAGTGAGCAAAAAAGACTTAGACCATTCACTAACGTTTTAAGACTTTATTTAATTTAAAAGAAAACAAAGTCAAACAAAAGATGTTTTTAAAAATTCCTGGCAAACTTACCAGCATGTCTGATGCGGCTCAGGTAGTTGAGGATGTTGTTAAATGCTGGGTTTGTCTCTTTACCTGTCTGAGAAGCCATAACATCAGCCTTCAGTGTTTTTTCATCCATCAAAATACTCCAGTTAATGTGGGAAATAATCACTCTTCTTATTCTTTCCTAATTACCTCCACCAAGGTTATGTTTTTGGTTCTGTGTGTGTGTGTGTGTGTGTGTGTGTGTTGGTTGGCACGATTACGGACAAACAGCTGGATGGATCATCAGCACACAGTGGTGGAGACCAACCCCAGAAGTGGTTAAATTTTGGCTGAATAAGGTCAAGGTCACAAAAAATAAAAATAATAAAAGTCCCACCTTTAACATGAGGCAAAATGTAAAAAAATCATGTCTCTGTCAAAAGTTATCAAAATCATTTTAGTTTGAAATTTTACACATACAGTGCCTTGCGAAAGTATTCGGCCCCCTTGAACTTTGCAACCTTTTGCCACATTTCAGGCTTCAAACATAAAGATATAAAACTGTAATTTTTTGTGAAGAATCAACAACAAGTGGGACACAATCATGAAGTGGAACGAAATTTATTGGATATTTCAAACTTTTTTAACAAATAAAAAACTGAAAAATTGGGCGTGCAAAATTATTCAGCCCCCTTAAGTTAATACTTGGTAGCGCCACCTTTTGCTGCGATTACAGCTGTAAGTCACTTGGGGTATGTCTCTATCAGTTTTGCACATCGAGAGACTGAAATTTTTGCCCATGCCTCCTTGCAAAACAGCTCGAGCTCAGTGAGGTTGGATGGAGAGCATTTGTGAACAGCAGTTTTCAGTTCTTTCCACAGATTCTCGAGTGGATTCAGGTCTGGACTTTGACTTGGCCATTCTAACACCTGGATATGTTTATTTGTGAACCATTCCATTGTAGATTTTGCTTTATGTTTTGGATCATTGTCTTGTTGGAAGACAAATCTCCATCCCAGTCTCAGGTCTTTTGCAGACTCCATCAGGTTTCCTTCCAAAATGGTCCTGTATTTGGCTCCATCCATCTTCCCATCAATTTTAACCATCTTCCCTGTCCCTGCTGAAGAAAAGCAGGCCCAAACCATGATGCTGCCACCACCATGTTTGACAATGGGGATGGTGTGTTCAGGGTGATGAGCTGTGTTGCTTTTACGCCAAACATAACGTTTTGCATTGTTGCCAAAAAGTTCGATTTTGGTTTCATCTGACCAGAGCACCTTCTTCCACATGTTTGGTGCGTCTCCCAGGTGGCTTGTGGCAAACTTTAAACGACACTTTTTATGGATATCTTTAAGAAATGGCTTTCTTCTTGCCACTCTTCCATAAAGGCCAGATTTGTGCAGTATACGACTGATTGTTGTCCTATGGACAGAGTCTCCCACCTCAGCTGTAGATCTCTGCAGTTCATCCAGAGTGATCATGGGCCTCTTGGCTGCATCTCTGATCAGTCTTCTCCTTGTATGAGCTGAAAGTTTAGAGGGACGGCCAGGTCTTGGTAGATTTGCAGTGGTCTGATACTCCTTCCATTTCAATATTATCACTTGCACAGTGCTCCTTGGGATGTTTAAAGCTTGGGAAATCTTTTTGTATCCAAATCCGGCTTTAAACTTCTCCACAACAGTATCTCGGACCTGCCTGGTGTGTTCCTTGTTCTTCATGATGCTCTCTGCGCTTTAAACGGACCTCTGAGACTATCACAGTGCAGGTGCATTTATACGGAGACTTGATTACACACAGGTGGATTCTATTTATCATCATTAGTCATTTAGGTCAACATTGGATCATTCAGAGATCCTCACTGAACTTCTGGAGAGAGTTTGCTGCACTGAAAGTAAAGGGGCTGAATAATTTTGCACGCCCAATTATTCAGTTTTTTATTTGTTAAAAAAGTTTGAAATATCCAATAAATTTCGTTCCACTTCATGATTGTGTCCCACTTGTTGTTGATTCTTCACAAAAAATTACAGTTTTATATCTTTATGTTTGAAGCCTGAAATGTGGCAAAAGGTCGCAAAGTTCAAGGGGGCCAAATACTTTCGCAAGGCACTGTATTTAGTGTGGCAATGTCTATCACTGGAACAAATTTTATCTCGACCTGATCCGGATTCTGGTTCTGGCAGCCATTTAAAGTTAACATTGAAACTCCCTTTAAACAAGTATTTTCTCCCATAGCCTGTAATGAAGATTCCTGAAATATTCAGGTAAGACACACAGTAGAACTGCCTATTATAACCTAAAATCTGAATCACATCCAGATTAAGGATTTTAGGACACATTTTGTGTTGGTCTAGATCTCATTTTTCACAAGGGACCCATTTGTGTGAGCGAATATTGTGCCTTGGTGGAGATACATGTGTTCTCTTGAGTGCGCGTGTTTTTATTAGTATTCTTTTATTACCACAATGAGAATTCCTAAAACAGCCAGGCCATCTTTCTGTGTCATCGCGGTGGACATATTGGGGTAGAGCTCCGAGTTGTAGTGCACCACGTGTAGCTGGAGAGAGGAATAGTGTGGGTTAGTCAGACAAAGAGAAAGGACATGTGTCTGCCTCTCCTTCTGATAAGGGTTAAGACGGAGAAAGAGGGGGAAAGACAGAGATCAAAGGCTGAGTGGTAACTTGGCACAAGAATAAAGAGCGACGAGGAAAGACTGCTGTAAATGTGGAACTAATTATGTAAGTCTGTGTGCAGGTTCCTTTTTTCACTAATATGTGTCCCCTCCTTCATTGGGTTAGTTTTTTCTTCTTATTCCACCCTCTCTGTATGATTTGAGTCTCTTTAATCTGCTTAAATTCCTTCATGCCTCATACACTCCATCAACTCACTCCTGTAGAAACCAGCGTGTTGGCCAGTGGCGGATGGACAGGAGGTGCTGAGATGGCTTCCCTTCCCTCAGTACTTCATTCTTCATTCTCCTCTGTTTCTCCATCTTATCTCCTCCCTCCAAATCTAATAAATTGCGTACTAGTTTTATTTTTTTTGTTTCTGCTGCTCTTCTGCCACTGCACCCCTACCTCTGTGTGCCCTAAAGGCCAGTTCTTTATCCCTTTATCCCAGGGATCAAAGCTGACTCATGTGTGTGTGTGAGAGAGAGACAGAGAGTGTGAGGGGGAAACATGCCAGTCACAGAAGAGAAAAAAAAGTATTGCAAAAGAGAAAGAAAGAAGGAAAGGGATTCAAACTGTAGCTCCAAGGTAAAGACAAAAGCCAACTATTATCATCGATATTATGTGGCTATCTCTGTGTGTGCAGCATCTGCTTGTGCCTACTGAACACATAAACCTTAAAAATCATGGGTCATTAGGGCTACAGTTAGTGATTATTTTCCATTTTATTTACCAGTATCTGCTTTTGTTTTGTTTTTGTTTTTCAAGTCATTCAGTCTATGAAGCTGGAAACCAAGATTGTTTGGCACTTTGAATGATTTTCTTTTTAGCAAACGTTTCTCAAATGGGAGTAAATTGTGCATTTGTTGAGGACGACTTTCAGTTGCGGATTAATACAGATTTGATGTGCTAGTGTGTATTTGCTGTATTTATTCACATTTTATCTCTTGTTATGTTTGCAACTTATGTATCTACACAGTTTTGCTTAGTTTACTTGGGTGAATGTTAGTTTTCATGACAATACAGAGAAGCTTACGTGCAAGGATTTACAAACCTCCTAGGAGTTATTTTTTCTCCACTTCGTGTGAATGTGTAGGTGTGCCTACTGCAGAAATGTATTCCTGCACTGCTAAAATTTGAAAAGTAATCAATTCATAATCAGCTGTTAATTTTTTTGTTATTATAAAATTCAAGTATATCTCTCATCTGCAAAATTTAGAAGCTGTGAAACTTGATCCAGTGAGAATCAATGCTGGATGTGAACTGGAATTTTGTCTTTCACCAGTTTTATATTGTGTTATCATGTTTTATTCATAACCTCAACTTTATATTTTCTGCTGTGATGTCAAATGTTTCTTCTGTAATTGTTCTTATGCTTTACTTTACCATATTTATCCTTGTGAAGCTGATGAAGGTCAAGATCCATAAAGGGTAAAAGACAGATTCAGAGGAAAACTGCTCACACTGTTGACCTTCTAGTGCCAAGTCTTTTTCACTTTTCTGTTTCTGTAGCTGTTTCCGCTGATTGTGCACAAATGTCTGTATAACAGGAAGCAAACCACAGAACCAGCCACTGGCAGTTGCCCCTGGCTTTTCCCCTGTGTTTGCGAGTGACATATTACTCTGTATAAAGGGTCAAACTGATCCCTGGGGTTTAGACTTCTGACTTCTCATCTGAAATACTGATTGCACCTTATGCCTTTGTGTGTTAATAAAATATAAAAACACATATGTGTTTATGCATCTGTGCTGAATGGATAAAGTCAAATTTCCACCACATCTACAAAATATCATTCTTTATATCTGTCACACTTCATCTTATTCCTCTCACCTGCACAAAGGTCCCTTTTATTAACTTATAGTGTTAACATCTTTTATTCCTCTTCCTAACAATTGTCAGCGAACATTTCTGGGGATCCAGGCTGCCTTTTTGGATTTGGGCTTTGTTTGCATGTTTGTTTTCTGCCTTGGACATTCTGCTAAATCTCTTTTAATCCAGTTTAAATAATGTCAGAATTGTCACAATTATTAGAGCAGTTGATCCTTTGTATACATTTTTTTCACTTTCATAGAGATTAGTGGTGTGTTTTCCTCTCATCTGTGAATTTTACAGTTTGTAGTGAGCTGTGTTTAAACATACCTCTGCATCTGCACTCAGTCCATTAATGGTGTGTTCGCTGCCCCCCCGGGGCCCGGCCCGCCACTGCCCCAGTGGAGGTGCAGTTGTACGGCTGTAAAGAGCCAGGGCAGCCCCCCTAGTCCCATCCACTCTGGCATCTCAATCACAACTAATGGAGAAAAGAGTGAAACAAAGCAGATGACTTTTCTTTCTAACCTTTAGGCATGTAGTGAGAAGCTAAATGTTTGAAAAATTCCTAAAAATTGTAACTAATCTTCTGAACCTATTCATAGGCAGTAAGTAGTTTGTTGCCAGGTTATGCTTGTGAATGGTGCAGTATAAACAGTTCCACTGTAAAACTGCTCAGACACCAAGAAGAGAGTCATATTAAGAGCTGGAAATTTGCCGCCATAGTTACCTGTGTGTCCGTTATTGTACAGAGTGAAAGGTTTGTTGCCGTGCTGACTGTAGCCCAGTGGGGTCAGAGGGATCAAACTAGAGTCATATTTAGTCTGGGTGGTTACCACGTCAACGGGGGACTGAGATGTACCACCACAGTCTGGGAAATGCTTGGACCACTCCGATTGGCCCACCAAGCCTTTGACAGAGAGAGGACAGAAAGACTGATGTCAGCCAGTCATACAGCTCACTGCCTCCCAGCCACCCGGTAAAAGGCCCCAACTGTCACTCTCTAATTATGTAAAACGATTATTCTCCAATGTTCCTTTTATGTTCACAGCATTATAGTGATGAATTTTGCCATATTAAAAATATAACAAAAACAAACAAAAAAGCATGGTAAATGTAATTATCCATGGTAACAGGTTTTGCTATTTAACAAAGGTCATAACACAGTTAAATTGGGCATTTTATTTATAGTTGAGTCACAATGGATAAAAAACTAAATCGTTATTACTGAACTAGCAACCTGAAGACTTGTTTTTTAAAATGTTATTCACAAGATTTTTCACTCCAGTTCCAAGTAATTAATATCAGCTGCATCTTTGCTTCCTTGAACAATTTAGGTGTTACTTTTTCAGTGTGATTATACTGATGATTACTGATCTCAATACATTTCACCAACAGCTTAAATCTCCTCTTGCACAAAATGTCCTGAATCAGACCAGAAACTAAATGCGTAAAATCCAGATCAGCTGACGTGTGCTCACACAGACATGAGTAGTTACCAATAACATGCTGACAAAAGCAGCTAATCAATGCACTTCTGTGTATAACTGTAAAGTATTTCAGCTGATAACAACCACAAATATAATTAATATCAAATATCACTCGAGTCATGCAGTATATTAGCAGCCCTGCTTGTACAGTATGTCCTGATACCTTTACTATCATTGCCCTGAAATACATTTAAATGATGTTTAGCAATGTCAACAAAATGTGATCACAGTTTGCATAGTTAGTGAAAAATTAATACAGGTCACAAAATAATACATTTAATTTTAATTCAAAAAATGTTTTGATCTTGCATTATTTAATATGTGCCATTTTTTTCTAAACCTGACAATGGGATGAAGTAAACTTAATGTTAGATTGTTTTCTAGTGTCCCTGTCTTCATGCTGCTTTTTTAACCAATTGATATATCTAGTTTAGAGTCAGTTTCTGCAGCTACTTTACATAACAAACAGAAATGGTGGCTACATTTAAACTAACGTGTTGGTGGTCATAACAGGGGGTTAACTTTCAATTGCATTTTATCTGGTTTTAAAACATCTAAAAAACCAGCTGAAAATCAAACAGGAAATATTTTAAAGTGTCAGCTTTGATTCCTAAATGATGAATTCAGCATAAATAAAACCTAATTAAACTAAATATAAGCATTCATTAATATTTATTACATACTGGCTAAATGGTTACTGTAAGCATGTACTGTTAAAGCAGGTCTTCTGCTAGTGTATATATGCTTACTCTATTCCTATATGTTCAATATGCTCTGTATTTCCCATTTTTAGTTTTCACATCATTCGTTCTCATACACCAAAAGACACATTAAAAAATGAAGAGGAATCAAATTCAAAGCTGAATAAAGACAAAGTGAGTGAGAGAGGATAAAGTGATTGAGGCTTGGGTACAAAATAGAAAAAGAGATTGGTCTGCCAAATTGCATAATAAAAGAAAGTGTTTGAAAAAGAAAGAGAGTGACATGTGAGTCAAAGGATCTGAATTTCAATTGCAAGCACAGGAATGCTCTAGAAAACAGATACACACCAAAAAATGTGTCAGTGCAAAAAAAGTATGCAGTTATATATTTGCAGTTGCAGGTTTTGTAGATGTTAAAGTTTGTTAATAGCATGTCTGTATGTTTAGTTTAAAAAGAATAAGAGGATGATGAAAACGGGTAGCACAGAATGAACCCCACAATAAGAATTGTACTGTGTTTGTAAGCCATGGTCCTTTTACGCCCATTAAAACCAACAGCTTCATTTACATAGAATAAGCACAGCAGGCCCGGTTTGCACATCAATCATACCTTTCTCTCCTATATACAATACGAGTATGGGGCTCTACATTGGTGATGTAGAAACATGTACTCTCTCACTGCTCTGCCTGTGCCTGCGGCCCCCACCTCGCACCTCTAATTTGTTCTCCACCCCCTTACCCCTCACTGCAGCTCAGCCCTGCACCATGACTCAACTTCAAAAGTATGACCCACGGCCCTGCCACTGGTCGCCATGGAGGGCTCCATGGCGACCGAAAATTTGGACCCTCTGCGCCTGCCTTCGCTCTTCTAGCATGCTCTCCCTGTCCTGAATACACCCAGGAACAAAGACACATGTGCAGATTCACTCGCTGAGAGCATGACAAGGACAACGTTGGGACATAACTATAACTCTCTTCTCTCGTGGAAAGAAACATATCCCCCGACATGCATGTTCTACACTGTACACACGCCTCCTTATGTTTTAGAAAAACGCCTAGACACCAGTTTGCTCCAGGCACAGCCCCTACAGTTTGCTGTGCATGCTGCATGTACTGTGTTGCTCTTCTGAATACATGCAGAGTGTGGTAGTTTGTGTTCCCCATTCATTCCCACAGTGTCACTGTCCACAGTAAAGGCAGCCAGTGTGTGTCCACAGCACAATAAACACATAGGTTATTGTGCGCTGCAACAATACAGTACACAATTTGGTATGCTTTTGCTTCATTCCGTCCCATCTCCCTCTCTCTAGCCAGCACCCTCATGCTTGTGCACATGCCTCCCTCTGCCAGCCTCTCACTCAGCCTTTCTTCCTCTCTCTCCCTCCACCCCTTCATTTGATTTGATTTGATTTGATTTATTCTTTCAAGCATGTAAAGACAGTTGATATGTCAACACATAATTTTACACATAATCCAATATCAATTTGCTTATACCTAATACATGCTTGAATGGAGTAGGAAGAAGTCAGACTTATCCAGTCCTACCCCATGACATCATCTTACCATCATTGGTTTGCAAGCA